TTTTGGGTAGAAAAAAAGTCTACTTTCACATGCAATTGATGTTACTAATTGGACCAATTAATTCTAATTTAATTTAATTTCAACAACAAAAATACTACTTGACTCCAAAAATCTCTCTCCCAATTTTTACTCCACTAATAAGGCGTTTGGTTGGAGAGGGGGACTTACATGAGAAAGGAATTGCAATTTCATAGGAGATGAATTACTGGAAATAAAGTGAAAATTTAAATTCGAGTGTTTGGTTTACAGGAATAGAATTACTGGAAATTTCAATTCCAATGTTTGGTATACATGAGAATTGAAAGGGAATAAATAGTATAAAGTCAAAAATGTCCATTGTTGTTGTTAGGCATTAATTTTTGGTTAAAAAGGAAGGGGTAATTTTGACCCATCGCTAATGATCTTGTGGTCTTGTCTAGTGGCCTGATGTGACTCTCTCAAATGGGATTAATTGAACTATTTTTGCAGGTAAGCGCGGAGCATTTGGGAGAGGGAATATTTGTAATTGATTTTGATAATATAGAAGGAGATGTATAGACACTTTAATCCACAATTATACGAATGTTGTGGGCATTAGTAGAGGTAGCCAAAATTTTCATGCTTAATACGTAACGTTGCATTTAACCTCATGTTTCACGTCATCAAGGTAACACAAATTGAAAAAGCACGTGAGTCTTGAATGCAAGATTTTGAATGCAAGACTGCCCATACCGTCCGCCACCACGATTCTGGCCACGACCCGGAGAAGTATACAAGGCCGTGTGCGACGCCGTTCCATCCGCCGTCGGGTAATCATCCACGAGGATGAACTCGTGGGCCTGCAAAAAATCCGAGAGGTGAGAAAGAGTCACAGGATTTCCGGACGCGGTGAGAGATGCTGCTAGCGACTTGAGCTCCATCTCAACTAAAAGCCTAAGCTAACGTGTGCGGTGGGTTCCAAGCAAGACGTGGACCGTAGTCGCTTATGGGTGGCGCTGAGATTCGGCTATATGCTCAACACGCCCCCTCACGTGTGCGGTGGGTTCCAAGCAACAAGTGGACCGTAGTCTCTTATGGGTGGCGCTGAGATTCGGCTATATGTTCAACCATGACCTTTGGTCTGGCTCTGATACCCTCACGTGTGCGGTGGGTTCCAAGCAACACGTGGACCGTAGTCGCTTATAGGTGGCGCTGAGATTCGGCTATATGCTCAACAATGACCTTTGGTCTGGCTCTGATACCAAATTGAAGCATGTTACACATTAATGGCTATATGCTCAACACGCCCCCTCACGTGTGCTGTGGCGCTGAGATTCGGCTATATGCTCAACCATGACCTTTGGTCTGGCTCTGATACCAAATTGAAGCATGTTGCACGTTAATGGTTATATGCTCAACACGCCCCCTCACGTGTGCGGTGGGTTCCAAGAAACACGTGGACCGTAGTCGCTTATGGGTGGCGCTGGGATTTGAACCCATGACCTTTGGTCTGGCTCTGATACCAGATTAGAGAAGGTAAATTGATCATTAACTGAATAATAGGAAATACAGAGTTATATCCTATAACAAAGACTATCCTATGCCTGAGTAATAGCATCTAACTATAACTACTGTAGACTATTCTATTACCACATAAATACAACCATAGACTATACAAATAATAATATGGAAATAATAGCTATACTAATAGTACAAAACATAATGGTCTTCGAAAAACAATATTCTTCAAATCACATCACCTTTCTAATATCAGATCATCCTATTGAAAAAAAATGATTAAAAAAATAATTAAGAAAAAGGAAAAAAAATCACAAACCAGTAATCATACCACTCAACGCTGCCCAATTGCTTCTTCAATACTAATAGACTGAAGTCTATTCTTAAATTGCTGCCACTCAAACAAAAAATCCAACCATTTTAGTTCAATTTGATCAGCATCGAAAAAATTGGCAAGAAATATTTTATCTCCTCCTATCTCTATATAAACATCATGTGGAGTATCTGTAGCACTTGTTATCACATCTGGATCGGTCTCATTATAGGCGTGCATCGCAAATTCCATTAGGTGATAGAATTGGGAATCAATGGTAACATATCAAAATCAATGGTAACATCGCAAATTCCATTAGCTGCTATTACTGCTTTCAATTTGTTCACTTTCTGTATCTGCAGCAAACGTGATAGCTAGCAATATGTAGATAAATTCTGCAGAATAACATTGGATAGCATTAACATTTGAAAACAATTAGGTAAACAAATAAGATAAAAAATGTTAATTACTAAGTATTTCCATCTCAAACACTTTGTGGTGTGTGTATCATGCGTGCGTCGTCCATGCGTGGTTCGTGCATTATGTGATATCAGAGAAAAGAAATTTATGGTATCAGAGCGATATATATATATCAGAGAAAAAATGTTCATGAAAAAAAATTCATGGTATCATCAACTTGTGCAGTGTAGTCTTTGTTAGAATTTACTTGGAGGAAGAGTTTGGATCACGTAATCATTTCAATCTTATTTGTTTTCAATGCATTCGAAAAGTGAGAGGCAACATAATTGTTTCCAATATGTTATGTTAATTTTTATCATGTTATTCTGCAGGATTTATCTACATACTATTAGTTGCCATGTTGGCGGCAGAAAATGGAAAGATAAGCGATAATGACGGCGATGATGACAGTGCCAACGACGGTAACAATGATAGTGCAGCGATGCCAACAATGACAGTGGCAGTGATGGTAACAATGACAATAGTGGCGCCAGCACTGCCAGCACCAATGTTAGAGATATATTCCGTTGGTCATAAGACCATCGGATGGAGGTGAAGATCGACTAATAAATAATATCTATGTTGGAACTAATACGGGGTATACTTCCCTGGCAGACGACCTTTGGCACATGGCACCAGTGCCTCAGAAGTCAGAACTACTGCCCCAACATATTATAGCCCTAGAACAACTACCCCAACATATTATGGCCTTGGAATGATTACAGGGTCAACTATATGGGAGTGGTTAATATTCAAGAGGTAGCCATGAACCCATGTATGCATGGAAGTGTCGGAACTCTATGGGATTAACTTATGGAGGACTTAGAGATAGCAGTTTCCAAAGAACCACGACTGGAGATTAACAGATTTCCGACCACCCAAAAGTGGTCGGAAATAGCCTAAATCCGGTCGAAAACACTGTTTCTAATTCCGACCACTCGATAAACCCTCGTCGCTAATTCCGACCACTCGATAAAGTGGTCGGAAATAGCGACCACGTTTATAAAATGGTCGGGAAAAAACGACCCGCACAACAATTGGCCAAATTCTACATTTCCGACCACCCGTGGTCGGAAACATTCACCCATTAATTATTATTATAGTGTGGCACTTTCCTACCACCGGAAATTATTTAAGTAAAAAGAAAAAAAAACATTTCGTTGCTGTAAAATTTAATACAAATTATCCTCAAATAAGCAACTACAAATTTAATACAATAGTTTAATGACATATTTACTCCAGTTTATTCAACTTATTGTCAATTATATAATAAAAAGAAAGAGCTCAAAGCTTCAAAAACATCTTACAAGTTCTAGGCAGGTTGGTTCTGACTATTTCTAATGCCTAGAGTCGACTTCAAACTCGATTTCATCCTCAGCATCGGATACATTACACACCAACATCAAATCCTTATAGCCAATTGCCTGACAAACATAGAGTTGTCTTTATTACAATTTGCTACTGTACAAACAGTTAAATCAAAATCTCTTTCAATCATAGGATTCAACTACTATTGTAGCAAGCAAGAATTAAATCAATGGTTTCTTAAATTTCAAAAGATAATCATGAGAAATATAACATAACAATACTAAATTGCAACCACATCAACACGGGGATGTGAAGCTGAAGTTATACTGCATGATTAAGAGACTTGCAATCTCCAATTCATTGATTGAGATGTCTTAGTACTTACGATGTGAAGTACTATATCATTAAATATATGGTGTACCATTAAATGGAGCTTCACAATGATAAATTAATCTTTTAATTTTATTTTGCATTTGGAAATATACGTCATTTTTTATCCGCGACTACAAATTAGTAAAATCCCATTCCTACCTCCACATAAATTTCTTCTCAGAAAACCTGCAAATTTTACTCCATCTTGTACTTCCCTTATAAAATGACTTCCATCTTGTCCATCTCCAGGCAAGGAAGAAGTTTGCTAACTGAATCATCAAGGAGAGCAATGCAGCACTGAGTCTCACTACAAAATCACAGAAAGTCAAAGTAATCAGGGGCAAAGAAACTGTTATAATTAGGGTGAGGGGGAGGAAAAGAGGCATAAATATTGAGTAGGAAAAAAAAATCTTTTACATGATTAAAACTTCTTGCTTTTGACATAAAGAAAAGTCAGATTTCATTACATTACATACTAATAATTGAATCAATTGTAGCTTGTATGTAACAGGACTACTAACCCAAGCAAACATATCAAATAAAAATAAAGAACAAAGGAAGAGGAAATGGAGGGAGGGATTGAAGGAAAGAGTTCTTACACTTATCTTCTTTTAACATTTATATTAACAATAAGGAATCAATTTAGGATGACAACATGGAAATATAAATGCCAACATTTGGAAAACCAGTATAATTTATTCCAATATTCTGCTTTCTCAAGGACTACAATTAGTATAGAAACATTGAGATGTAACAGTTTCTATCTTGTTGTGGCAAGAAATGCAAGCCTCATATCTAACAACATGAACACTCATGATTATTAAAAACAAACAAAAAAAAAAAAACACACACAAACACACACAAAACCTTTCATTTTAGCTAAGCCCAGAATCAGCAGACATCTGAAATCAATAATTTATTGAAAATTGCTTATGATATTCATTCTTGGATCCCAATAGATGAAGCAGTGAAAGAGTTAGAAGACAACCGTTACCTGTTCTGGCTTGGATATACTTAAAATTTGATGTCCATACGCGTTGACTTTGAACACTTTGGCACTTATGCGCGGGCGGCAGCCATTGTAATAATGAAGGACCATAGCGAGTGATGTGAGTATTGCTCAGAGATGGCAAACTTCTTCTTCATCTTCATCATTGTACTACTACTTCCATTCCTTGTTCTGGGGATTGAGGATTGCGAGGAGAGCAGGTGCAGAAAAGGCGGCCCGAGAATCCGTTTCCCTTTCAAGCTCAAACACGAGCATGCGCAGCACTGTGGGTATCCCGGATTCGAGTTATCATGTGACAACAATGGCAACACTGTGATGGAGCTCCCGCATGCAGTGCAATTACACGTTGATCGGATTGACTACGTTTCCCAACACATCTTCCTGTCTGATCCTCATGCCTGTGTTTCCGGCAAGATGCTATTAAACCTTAATTTATCTCAAACTCCATTCCAGTATTCCAACCCCGCCCCAATGTTTTTTGAGTACTCCCTGTTCAACTGTTCTGATGATGCATCAAAGTATCCTGAGAATTTCTATGATCAGATCATTTCGTGTCTTGGTGTTCCTGGTCACCAAGTACACGCCTTTTATTCTTTTGAGTCCATCGATTATTTCCCTTCCCCATCTTGCATAAAATTCCATGAAACTACAGTGCCCTTTCAGAGGGAAACTCTTAGTATGAGTACTCTTCAACTTAATTGGTCAAGACCATCCTGTTCACATTGTGAGACACTGGGCTATATTTGTAGCTTAAACAACACCCTAGCAGCAGAAGTTCAATGCCTTAACAGACCCAATAAGACAGGATTCAAAAACCCAATTATTGCAGGTAATGCTCTAATCATAATTTATTTATAAGATCATGTGTCCTTACCTACAATTTGCCACCAGGAATCAACTGAGCTATCTGTACGGGTGGCTTCTGATTTCTTGGGACTAGAAGTAATATGCCATTCTGATTTTGTTGTCTGAAACCTATATATGCAGGTTCCATTTTAGGATTCTTTCTGGTGGCAATTGTCACCTTTGGCGCCTACCAGTTTTACACCAGAGGCAAAATGCATAAAGAGAACCAGAAAAGAGTTGAGAAATTTTTGGAAGATTACAAAGCTGTGAGGCCAACAAGATATAGCTTTGCTGATATCAAGAAAATCACCAATCAGTTGAGTGAAAGACTGGGAGAAGGAGGTTACGGAACTGTGTACAAAGGGAAGGTTTCCAGTGAAATTCTTGTTGCAGTCAAAGTGCTGAATGATTCCAAGGGGAATGGAGAGGAGTTCATCAATGAAGTTGGGATAATAGGGAAGATCTACCATGTTAACGTGGTTCGTTTTGTAGGGTATTGCGCTGATGGATTTAGACGGGCACTTGTGTACGAGTACTTGCCAAATGAATCCCTGGAGAAATACATATTTTCAACAGAGTCAAAGAATGTAGCCATGAGTTGGAAGAAGATTCAAGAAATAGCTCTTGGTATAGCTAAAGGGATCGAGTATCTTCATCAAGGTTGTGACCAGCAAATCCTTCATTTCGACATTAAACCCAGCAACATCCTGCTAGATCACAACATGAATCCCAAGATTTGTGATTTTGGACTCGCAAAACTGTGCTCCAAAGAGAAAAGTGCTGTCACCATGACGGCTGCCAGGGGAACCATGGGTTACATTGCACCAGAAGTGGTGTCAAGGAATTTTGGCAAAGTGTCTCACAAGTCCGACGTTTATAGCTTTGGCATGTTGCTTCTGGAAATGGTTAGAGGAACGAAGAATTTCAATGCTAAAGAGGGAACTGACACTAGCCAGCAGGAGGGTAGTTTTCCAGAATGGGTGTACAATCACTTGAACAGAGGAGGAGAGCTGCAAATCCGTATCGAGGAGGATGATGATGAAGCAATCGCGAAAAAACTAGCGATCATAGCTCTATGGTGCATCCAGTGGCAACCTGTGGATCGGCCATCAATGAAAGTGGTGGTTCAAATGCTGGAAAGAGAGGGAGATGACTTGGTGCTGCCCTCTAGCCCTTTTGCAGGCTCTCAAATGTGAATCACCACCACAATAATGATCTTTGTCCTTCTGCCTCTTTTTTACAAGAATGAGTTGTAAGACCAAAATCTCAATTTGAATGGATTCCATCTGGTTTAACACAGAATATTACTAACACAGTTACGTCGAATTTGATTTGGAAACACATGTAATTTTATTATATATATTTTACAATATGTAATTGAGGTAGTAGTAAGTTGAACAGAACAGCAAAGTGATAATAATGGGACCATCTAATTACACACCGCGCCAGAGTGATTACATACGCCTTAATCCACAATTATACCTATGCTGTTGGAACTAGCAGAATTGGGCAAAAATGCTATGGATTCAGATGATTCTGACATGGAACTCTGTTCTTGATGCACTTCCATAATTGGCTCCGAAAGGAAAGTATCAGTTGGCATTTGCAGCAGCTCAACATCTCCTTCAAGCATTTCAACCACTCTACTCATTGAAGGCCTCGGAATTGGACTCATTTGGATGCACCAAAGCCCAACTATGGTCATCTTCTTTGTAATTCTCTTCTCATCCTCATCTTCTTCTCCCATCTCAATTGCCTTGCCCTTGTTGATATCATTGTAAATCCAAGATGGAAAGTATTTACTCGACTCATCTTGTTCAGTAACCGGTGTTCTATTTAAGCCTAGCATTTCCATGAGTAGCATTCCAAAGCTATATACATCAGCCTTATGAGAAATAGCTCCAATTCTTCTATTGACCAACTCTGGCGCCACATACCCAATTGTTCCACGAGCAGCAGTCAATGTGACAATGCTTTTATCGGTAGGAAACAATTTTGCAAGGCCAAAATCAGAGATTTTTGGAATGAAGTTCTCATCCAAGAGGATATTATGTGGTTTAATATCAAAATGCAGGATTTGGATGTCACAGCCTCGGTGTAAGTATTCAATCCCACGAGCTACTCCCACTACAATCTCAAACTTTCTTTGCCAATTCAATAAACTTGCATAAGCTCCTTGGTTAATATACTTGTCAAGGGATCCATTAGGCATGAAATCATACACAAGAGCATGCTTGGAATTTTCTGCACAATATCCGACAAGTCGAACAATATTGACATGATGAATCCTTCCCATGGAACCAACTTCATTGATGAAATCTTGACCGTTGGACTTGGGCTTGCTCATTATCTTCACTGCAACATCGCTGCCACTTCGAAGTTTGCCTTTGTAAACAGTACCATAGCCCCCTTCTCCCAACTTCTCCTTGAAGCCCTTTGTCATATTCTTAATGTGTCTGTAAGAATACCTAATGGGCGAGAGATTACTATCGGTGCTGAGGAAATTCTCGATTGCATCAAACACCGATAAGTGCCTTGTTCGTACTTTGATAATTAGAATAACGATTACACTTGGAATTCCGATTACAATCTTTGGTCCAAAGTACATCCCCAAAAGTATGACCAGGCCTGCAAAATACCACAATTTTTATTGACATAATTATACTAAAAGCATGCAGTTGGTAAACTCGCGAGAAGAGATTGAGTTCTTACCCCAAACAATGATCGCTATTTTCATAACTACACCCATACCTACAATAATATTGCCATGGGAATGAAATTAGAGATGTGATCAGAAGATAAGTTACCTTTCATATATATAAGTGATGCCCTCCCCAGTCCCCATTGACATGAAAAATAATAGAGTAATTACAATTAATTCTTACCAGAGTAGTAGTTGCTCCAGCAGCGAATCTCATTTGTCTCGTCAAGGCCACACAGCGGTACAAACAAGCAGTGATCACAAAGAGCCTGGAACCAGTATAGCTCAAATCCATACATCAAAGCATCATGGATTTCCAAAAGACTTGTTACATTTTCTTGAATTCGCCACGAAGTCATTGTTATCAGCTCAACCTGGCATGAAATTCTTAAATCCGATGCATTAAGAGGTCCCACCTTAGCATAAGCGTAGCCTCCAGATGAGTGGTACAATCCACTGCTTTTATTGTTAGAACAGTCTTTTGTTGTTTCTACAAAAGTAGCAGAAGGAGAAGACTTCACTGGGAAAGGACAGCTGAAGAAAATAATTGGCACAGTAATTAAAGGCACGTCTTCCCATCTATACAATGTCCGGGCGATGGCATATGGCTTCAAGTATCCAGAAAAATTGTACCGAGCTAAAGCATATCTTGGAAAGGAGCAGATGTTGTTATGTTGTACACCAGGATCAACCACACGGATAGTGAAGTTGTTGTAATTGATGGATTGGACATAGTATTTCTGGGACTCTAAAGTTAACACTGCTCGGTTTTGTTCACAGGTTAACTCGTAATCGGGATTGCCACAATTTTGAGGATCGGTATTTAGGCGAAAAGGGTAGCTAATATTGTGGATGCTCCCGCAGGAAGACGGGTTGCAGGACTGGCGGCTATATGGGAATTGGATAACAAGTAGGCATATCAGGAATGCTATGACAAGCTGTTTTGATCTGATGATGGCCAACATTTTGTTGAGGAAGATGAAGGCTTATTATTCTCGATCTTCTAATCCAAATGCTTTCAGTAGAACAGGCTCATATCATATAGATAAGTCCACTTGTGGACTCAAACTACCTTGTATTAATTAATAACTAAAATAATATTAAAAGAGGTAATTTTTTATTTTTTATTTTTTATTTTATCATAGATTTACTTTTAGGTTTTTTTCGTAACATCTCCAAATGGTTATATTATTATTATTATTATTATTATTATTGTGGTATAATTAATTTTTTTTTTTGTCTTCCGTTAACAAATCTGTTTAAATGACAGTTAAATATCGAAACATTCCAGTCTTTTTAATACAAAATGAGTTAACTCGCTATATTTTATTTATTTATTATTATTTAAAAAAAAAATTCTTACTCTCAGCTAGAGTCCCCTGTCTTATTCAATTGCAATTTGTGCCTTGACAAAGCCTCCACAATCTAAGCATAAGAGTAGTGGAATGACACATAAATTTATGATCAAAAAAAGAAATTAACATTTAAAAATGAATAAACTAAAATGCCATCAAATTTAATGTCATTTAAATAGATTTGTTGACCAAGGACAAAAATGATCACGCCACAATAATACTAACTAAGACTAATAGGGAATGTTTTGAAAAAAAAAAAAAAGAAAAAAGACTAAAAGTAGAATATAATTTACAAATCTAGGACCGAAAATAGAATTAACTCTATTAAAAATTTGCAAGTTTGGTGTGTTACTAATTGAATCCATAAAATCTTACATTGTGTACTAAATAAGAGTAGGTCTTCTCACGTGAGAGTGTAATACTTTTTAGTTAAAATGTAATACTTTTTTATGAGTTCATAAAAAATTATTACAATTTAACTAAAAAAATATTCTGCATTTAATATGAGACGATTCTATACAAAATTTAATCCTAAAAGAATTGTTTCACAATCAGTTAATGTTACTAATTTGTTTCTTTCCATACTTTCAAATTTTCAATATAGTTTTGCACAATCAAAATTAGAGATCAACTTTTTTTTTTTTTTTTTTTTTTTTTTGGGAACGAAACTCTAGGTTAGCTGTGATTAAAAAAAAAAAAAAAAAATCTAAGTTAGCTTATGGACCTAGATCGATAAGAAAAGTCCACTCGTTGCCTTTGAAAACTTTGGCAATTCACACTTCATATTTCATATTTAGGGTGTCTTTGGTTGAGAGGTTTAACTCTAAGGAATGTGTATTAAAGTGATTGATATTGTTTGGTTGATAAGTTTTTAGAATAATATTGTGGATTTCATATACCCCTTAATTAAAAAATTCATACCCAAATAAAATAAGGGTATCATCCCTTTCATTCCATTATTCCTTCTCATCTCCTTTGATTAGTGTTTTTAGATTGTTGTTGTTTTTTTATTTTGTTTTGTTTTTGTTTATATTGGTGTTTTGGATGTCTTTATATTAGTATCAATTGTCTTGATTTTGTGTTCTTGTATTTTTAAAATCTTTATTCTCATTATTGAATCATACCTAACCAAACAGCATTATTGATAATCATTCACATTCCACCCTACTACTAAACAGGCAAAATACGTTCACTACAACCCATTACCATTACCAAGTATTTGATACTAATTCTGATTTCGATTCCCATGTGTGACCCAAAAGACACCCTTAATGAATTTCATCGTTTGGACATGTATGGTAGTTGATGTTACTAATTTAATCAATCAATTTTTTTTTTTTTTCATATCCTAACAACTAAACTTAGTGGTGGAGCTAAAAATAATAATGATGAGTAGGGACAAAGAATTCAAACACTTTTAAACATGATAAAAAAAAATGTGGTAGGAGTGGGAGTTTGATGTTACTAATTTGTTTCCTTCCATACTTCCAAAATTTCCATACAAAAACCTCATTAGGCACACAATTCCTTCAATATCATTCAGATGATAAGAAAAGCCCACATGTGGACTGAAATAGTCAATAAGTGATATCTTCAATTCAGATATATCGTTCTTTAGGAGGATGCGTGAAGGGAAGTCAAATAAAATACAAGTTGTTCATCAAAAAAAAAAAAAGGAATACAAGTTAAACCCAAAATATTTCAAATAATTACGATTTAGTTCTCATAATTTGGCAAATAGATACCATATTTTTGAATTTGAATTGGACAACACATGTAGTAATATATGATTACCATATTTTTGAAAATTTATTATATCTTACAATAAGGTCAACATAATATGTAATTAAGGTAGTAGTAAGTAAGTTGAACAGAGCAGCAAAGTGATAATAATGGGACCATCTAATTACACACCGCGCTAAAGTCATTACATACCCCCTTTAATCCACAATTATACCTATGCTGTTGGAATTAGAAGAATTGGGCAAAAATGCTATGGATTCTGATGATTCTGGCATGGAAGTCTGTTCTTGATCCACTTCCATAATTGGCTCCGAAAGGAAGGTATCAGTTGGCATTTGCAGCAGCTCAACATCTCCTTCAAGCATTTCAACCACTCTACTCATTGAAGGCCTCGGAATTGGACTGGTTTGGATGCACCAAAGCCCAACTATGGTCATCTTCTTTGTAATTCTCTTCTCATCCTCATCTAATTCTCCCATCTCAATTGCCTTGCCCTTGTTGATATCATTGTAAATCCAAGACGGGAAGTATTGACTCGACTCATCTTGTCCGGTAATTGGGATTTTCCTTAGGCCTAGCATTTCCATCAAAAGCATTCCGAAGCTATAAACATCGGCCTTGTGTGAAATGGCTCCAATGCTTCTGTTGATCAACTCTGGCGCCACATACCCAATTGTTCCACGGGCAGCCGTAAGCATTACAATGGTTTTATTGGTAGGAAATAGTTTCGCGAGACCAAAATCAGAGATTTTTGGAATGAAATTCTCATCTAGAAGTATATTGTGGGGTTTGATGTCAAAATGTAGAATTTGAATGTCACAGCCTCGGTGCAAGTAATCAATCCCACGAGCTACACCCACAGCAATCTCAAACTTTCTTTTCCAATTCAACAAACTTGCATCAGGTCCCTGATTAATGTACTTGTCAAGGGATCCATTACACATGAAATCGTAAACAAGAGCACGCTTAGAATTCTGTGCACAATATCCAATGAGTCGAACAATGTTGACATGATGAATCCTTCCCATGGAAGCAACTTCATTGATGAAATCTTGGCCGTTAGACTTGGGCTTGCTTATTATCTTCACTGCAACATCGCGGCCGCTTCGAAGTTTGGCTTTGTAAACAGAACCATAGCCCCCTTCTCCCAGCTTCTCCTTGAAGGCCTTGGTCATATTCTTGATGTGTGTGTAAGAGTAGCTGATGGGCAACAGATTATTCTCAGCGCTGAGGAAATTCTCGATTGCATGGAACACTGATAAATGCCTTCTGCGGAATTTGATAATTAGAAACACAATTGCGTATGGAACTCCAATTATAATCTTTAATACAGTGATTATCCCCGCAAGTCCGGCCACAACTGCAAAATATTACAAATTTTATTAAAGTAATTATACTAAAAAGAGTGGTGCTGTAGTTATATTTACAGAGCAGTTTGTGAGAAGAGATTGAGTTCTTACTCCCAAGAGCCATCCGTAAAAAACCTACAATAATATTGTGATGGGAATGGAGTTAGAGATGGAGATCGAAGATGTAGAAGTGAGGAAAATTTACTTCTCAAGTTAGCAATCATACATGATCGATCTAGTAGAAAATGGAAACTAAAGACAAATAATTAAGATGATTATATTCCAATAAATTATATATATATATATATATATGCATGTGATCTAGTCAAGACTCAAGACAAGTCATCTATCATATCATTCTTACCGTAGTTGTTCCAGCAGGTAATCTCATTTGTTGCGTCATCAAGATCACATTCTCTACTCCAGCACTGCTGATCACAAACAGCCTGGAACCAGGATAGCTCAAACCCATGAGTCAAAGCATCATGGATTTCCAATAGACTAATATTAATCTGAGTAGACACATTATTTTCTTGAATTCGCCAGGAAGTCATAGTTATGAGCTCAACCCTGCATGAAATTCTTAAATCCGATGCATTAAGAGTGCCTAACTTAGCATAAGCGTGGCCTGCAGAAGGATAGAATGGAGCAGTATTATTCCTACCACTACTGCTTTTATTATTCCAACACTCTTTAGTCATTTCTACAAAAGTGGAAGACTTCATTGGGAAGGGACACCTCAAGAAAATAATTGGCACAGTAATAAAAGGAATTGGAGGCAACTTTTCCCAGGAATCTTCTGTCCTCTTGGCACGTGATATGCTATATGGATTACCACTCTGGTATCTGAAAAACCTGTACTTTTTCGGAGTTGCAAAACTGTACCGAGCTATAGCATATCGGGGAAAGGAGCACATATTATTGGTTTCTTGTACATCAGGATCAACCACACGGATAGTGTAGTTGTGGTAATTGATGGACTGAACATAGTATTTCTGGGAATAATGTAAAGTTAACACTGTTCGGTTTTGTTCACAGGTTAACTCGTAATCGGGATTGCCACAATGTTTTGGATGGGTATTTAGTCGAAAAGGGGAGCTAATATTGTGGATGCTCCCGCAGGAAGAAGGATTGCAGTGGGTGGTATTGGAATGGCTTGAGAAATGGATAACAAATATGCATATGACAAGGCCTGAGATGACAAGTAGTGATATGAGGAACGGTATGAGAAGGTATTTTGATCTGAAGGCCACCATTTTGTTGAGGCTAGTATAGGGGTGGGGTGGTTTGGTTTAGGAAGAAGCTAGCTCAAGCTTATTTAGTTATTTGCCAATTATATAAGATATAAGATGTTCTTTTAATCCGGTCAATTGTTTTGAGTGGCCGGACTAGTGGGTAAGAAAAGTCCACTTTCACAAATGTATTATCTTTGAAAAACTTCACATAATAAATTTCAACCAAATAACTTTAGGACTCCTAAGGCACGTTAGAATTCATTCTCCATCTCTCTATATTATTAAGAATATTATCAAATATACATCATTTGGATTCTTTGTATTCTTAAATACCCTACTAGTCATCCATCACTTTATCCTTATTAAACATACTTCTTCAAACTATCTGTTATGGAAGACTCAACTTGTTCCTTTTTCTGTGGTTAAAATGGATACGTTGAAGGCACATTTCTATGTCTGACTTCATTTATTATGACACCGCATGAGTGTCATATTATAACCACGCTCTGAATGAGTGATCCATTGTAACTGCGCTCTGAATGGGTGTTCCGTTGTAGCTGTTCTGGATGAGTGTTCCGTTGTAGCTACGCTTTGGATGGTGTTCCGTTGTATCTGCGCTCTGAATGAGTGTTCCATTGTAGATGTGCTTCGAATAAGTTTTCTGTTGTAGCTACAATCTAGATGAGTGTTCCGTTGTAGTTGCACTTTAGATGAGTGCTTCGTTGTAGCAGGCGATCCTGCGATACAAAATTTGGTCCATCAAGATTTTTTATTTATTCGTGACAAAGTAACATATAAAAGGAATACATCTCTTTATCATGTTATTCCAAAACTAATATCATCATCATCTTTACGTACGTTCACGCGGTTGATGTTACGAATTGAACCCATTGTTACGGTGTGGACGGAATAGAAGTCCATTTGCATGTGGAATGTGGACTGAAATAATGTGCGTGTTATGTGTAGAAAGTGATCCAAACTCTAAGCGTCGTTACCGACTTATACGTAGACGACATTAACAATTGAATGACCAAAGCAACTACATACTGTCATGTGCTGTAAGATCATCACTAACGTAACGTACGAGTCCGTCCTTGGAGATGCAGGTCATCTTCGATCTTCTTCTATTACTTACATTGCTTGCTGCAGAACAGACGGCCCGTTTCCCTATCATGCTCAAACATGTACCCGCACACAGGGGCGGAGCTAGAAAATTTTGTGCGTGAGGCGAAGTTTAAATAACAAAATATCAAACAGTAAGGTTAAAATACAAAATACATTATAAATTACAATAGAATATTTTTGATATATTACACGATAATTAGAGTCGAAGCCAAAAATATATATACTTAAGTGGGGTGACAATGTGAAAATATTTATGACAACATATGAAACATAATAAATTAGATAAAATAATTTGGATAATACTATATTCATAAATACGTTTTAAATTAATTTTTTAGTTAGATCAACTTTAAGTTTTTCTAAATTAATTCGAATACAATGAAATCCACTGTTACAAAAATCGCGCCTAGGCGCCGATTAATCGGCGTCCGGTCAGGCGCTCTAGGCGCCCGCCTAGGCGTTCTAGGCGCCCGCCTAGGCGTTCTAGGCGCCCTAGGGCGGTCCCCAGACGCCTAGAGGGCGCCTAGCGATTTTTTCAACATTATTGAAGTCTAATATAAACTTGTATATTACATTAATTGAATGATTCATCAAAAGTAACTAAAAGAATATTGAATTTGTTAATTAAATGATTTATAAAAGTAGACTAAAAAAATATTTATCTTGGGAAGGAATGAAAGAGATAAATTAAACATCTTAACTTGGTGATATCCAGCCCTTAGATCTAGTTTGGTGAAAATCCTGGCATTGGCCAACTCAGAGAACAAATCCTCAACTAAGGGGATTGGGGTTATGCAATTTATTTAGAATATATGAGTTTAATGTTTAATTTTATGCACATTGTATTGATTGTAAGCATTAAGATGTTGGTTTTGCTCCTTGAGGTCCTTGATTTTAATATGAGCAATCTACATGGATGAGCTTCTTGTCTTTGACTAGTAGTATAAATGTATAATTGCATCAGGCTCTGATATAGGCATCTTTTGCAACCTTTTCTCTTCTTACATATCTTTCAACTTTACAAATATCTTCGGGTTTCTGTAATTGTCATCTCACTTCTTCAAATGCGGTTAGTTAAGCCTGTGCATCTAGATAGAAGTTCTAGATGTGGCATAGCACCCCTTGACTTTGTTAGTTTCCGCTGAAATTTTGTATGTTAATGGATAGTTGTTACCTTAATTTCTTTTTTGCATGTACATCTCTAATTTTTATTAATTAAATTAATAAACTTATATGAATATAAATTTTTTTATTAAACAAAATTTTATAATAGTATTACTAATATTTTTAAAACGAATTAACCATCTATATTTAGTACTGTATTAGGAACAGAATAAATAAAAAAACAGTGCAGGAAAAGTAAATTATATTGAACCAGAATATATTCACGCACCTTCAGAGAATCACTCCTACGTCTGCGGGGCCACACACAGGTGAAATCCAAATCCATTAGATCAAGTGATTTTGATTAGTAAGTTGTGTGGCAAGATTTGGGGTACGATCATCAACTCAGGGATTGTTTGTTGAAGATAAAAGAAAAATGTTTTTAATGAGATTTGAACCTATGACTATATGCTTTCTTAACATAAAAAAATAAAAATAAAAATTCAACTAACTAAGCTACTTAACATAAATAAATAAATATATATATATATATATATATATATATATATATATATATATATATATATATATATATATATATATATATATATATATATTAAAAGGTTCCCGTGCAGATGTGCGGTGGATTAATGTGCGTGAGATTTGTACTCAATGTGCGTGAGTGTTGTGCTTAGTGTGCTTGAGATTTGTACTTAATGTGCGTGGATGTGTAAAATGCAGCAGAAAATATTGATGTCAGCTTCTTCCCATCCCAGTAGCCATTGCCCCCTGATGATGATGATGCGGAGGCGAGCTATGGTGGTTAAGAATTATGGGAATAATACAACATAAATCCACATTTAGCTGCTGTGCAAATTTTATTGTGCGTGCGTCATCTATATAAACATTCAACTGCACTGAAGGTACCTTATAATCCAGAATCTATGGCCAAATTGAAGGAAGAAGTAACAAGAAGCTTGGGCGTTAATGTGCGTGAGTTTCTGTTCTACTTCCTTCTGAGCTCGTAATTCTGAAATACTCACGCATATTAAGCACAAATCTCACGCACATTAAACACAATACTCAGGCACATTAAGTACAAAACTCACGCATATTAACATGACGCACATTAAGTACAAATCTCAAGCCCATTAAGTATTAACCTCACGCATATTAATCCACCGCACATCCACACCGGAAGCCACAAATGCACCTGATCCCTTATATATATATATATATATATATATATATATATATATATATATATATATATATATATATATATATATATATATAGATTAACAATCGTATAGGAACTCATTGTTAGATAAGAACATGAGAACTAATCTAAGCCGTTCATTTAAACCAATCTAAGGTGTATGTTTTTTTTGTTTTTAAAGTTTTGTTTTTACGGTAGAATGGGGTTGATTTGGGCGGCTAGGGGTAGTATGGTCAATGTACGTGGGCGCGTGTAGGTCTTCTCCTATATTTGTGCTTTTTTTTTTTCGCTTTCTCGCTGAAGCTCCCCGCGTAGTAGGCTGTTGCTTATTTTCGAAATTCGAACGAGTTGTCTTGGTCGATCGAAGTCCCCGACGTCTTCCTTTCCGATCGCAGCTTCCTCTGAGATGGCCGACACCGGTGGTCGGAACCCTAAGCGCCCACGGCAGTCGACGAGGTTAACCTCTACTCCAGGTCGGTTTTCTCCTTTTTTTTTTTTTTTTTTTTTTTTTTTAATATACGATTGTTAATCTATATATATATGTATGTATATATATATATATATATATATATATATATATATATATATATATATATATATATATATATATATGAGTTGTGTAGTTGTTTGATGCTAGTGTGGGTTTTTTCTAGTTTGATTTTGGTGGTTTTTCGAAGCCGGGGGTAATAGTTGTCTGGGGGTTTCAGGGCTGCCGTTTATTTATTTGCGTGCTGTCTGATTTGCTGCTTTGCGTATTTCGGATTAATAGGGCCTTTTTATTTGTGCCTGCAAGAGCTTAGAGAGGTTTTAGGTCTGAGTTCGTATAATTAATGAGTTTGAATTCCAGTTGTTGAGTTCAAATGATGGTTCTGTGTAAATTTTTTATGGTAGTATTTGGATAGTGAACACTAGGATTAGTTTATGTGGCGTAATAGGTTAACAGTAATACAAGCTAAAGACATTAGTGAATGGTTGTCAGTATTTGGTATATGGTGGGTGCACATTTGGTCGTTTGTTTGTGCCATATTGGTTTAGTGGGATTAGTTGATTAGTTTCTGGGTGCTGCATTTTTTATTTCCTTATAATTTTTTTGATATGGACTTCGCGTTTCTAATTGCGTGATTTTTTGTTCTTGTTTGGTGTAATGCATTGTGTAGGTGCTCAACCTCAGGGTGAGGGTGGATTGCCGCAAGGGGGTCGTGGTACAAATGCCCGAGGTGGTGGTGCTATGGGGGCACGGGCATTCCTTCGAAGGCTGGAGGCTGAACCTGATTATGAGTTGACTCCAGAGGAGGAGGCCCGCTTTCCAAGCATGACAACTAGGTGTTCTGCTAGGGTCCTTGTCGAGGGCTGTCAGAAGCTAGGGAGACGGCAACGCCGGGCTGTTTGTGAGTTGGGATTTGGGAAGTTGTTGGACTTGCAGATTATGGAGACGCCCGGTAGGTTGGGACGGTGGTTGTTGCAGAATTTTGATCCAACAACGATGACGTTAGGATTGGGCAATGGGGTTTCAGTGAAAATCTATGAAGAGGATGTGGAGGCTATACTTGGGCTACCTAGGGGTGAGGTGGAGATCACGAAGCGAGGCAATAATGATGTTAGTGACTTCTTGCTTGCTTGGAGGGGTCAGTTTTCTGCATCGTCGTATGCTATTA